CTTAGTACTAAGATACTAAGATATCGGTTTACATTTTCGTCGGTTCCTTCAGCGGGCAACGACGGTGATGTAAACTGTATACAATAGATACGGCGATACATCATCACCGGTACCATTAGATACACATCGTGCCCTGACTGTTTGGGGATCCCAGCGTCACGTATACAATGTGAAACGCGACAAATAAATGTCTCTGATTGGTGGATAAGACGAACCCAAAAAGGGTATAAAAGAAGCGTTTTTTCTTACCGGACTCTCAGTAGAGTTTGGTCGCTCGATCGTTTTCGCCCATATACCTTCTCTCAATAAAGGAATAAAATAAAGTCTTTTTAAGAAAAGAATTGGAATCATATTCATTTTCATTCCATAATCCCAACACTCTGATTAGCAGGTTTGTTGTAGCAAACCTACACTACAGACCCTATTCATTTTGGCCGACATAAATACTTTCTATAAATGAGTTTTATTTGTAATGATATAATATTTGTAATAATATCATTTGTTCATGAGTAAATGAGTTTCATTTCATAAATGAGTCTGAAATGATAATTATGCTTGGTAGTTTCCCCCAGAACAAGGCTAGGAATCCCTAAACGTTTCATCATCGACAACAACGAATTATATCTAGCACTGCGGCTAAGTGTCTGGTCTACTATCCTGATACTCCTATTGCCTTGATTAGTTCGCATAACTGAGGTTCTCCTGCTTTGTTAACTGAGAAGAAAACTAGTATGTTTGGTGTCACACTATCTGTACCGGGCTCATTGAGACAGGCAGTAACACTACAAAAAAAAAGTCACATTAGAGTAAAGCAAATTCTATTGTGTACTTTGAGATATAAACTAAAATATAGCAAGAGCTTAAAGATGTTTTATCAAGCTACCACTGAACAGAACATTCTCATAGTTATGTTACTTGAGTCTCCTTTTTTAAAGATTGATATAATCTCTTGCTTGATGACTCTCTCACCCTATTTCTTTCTTGATGGCTACTCTTCCCTAATTATTACCACTGAACCAAATGAATTTATACGTAAGACCTACAATTATCTGATACTTAAGCCCCACATTCTCTTCCTCAAGTGATTTCCACAAACCAAATGAATTTAATCCTTGATTGCCTTCTCCGTATCTATCAATCTTTGCCTCTATCTTCAGTTTTGCATTCGGACATACTTAAAACTCGTCTGACAACCTCTGACAGCATTTCAAAGAACTGAGAAAGCCTATCAGTAATAGAAGCTACCTGCAAAGTGAACAAATTGAAATGAAAATGATAAATGAACGAGCAATTGAGCAGGATCAGGATCATTTCTGAATCCCGAGAGAAATCGCAAGTTTACCAACACCTGTGTGTACACAGGCTAGGACTGTCAAGTGATTACCGTTGATTAAATGTCGATTGGAACGAAATTGTACTACAATTCTCAAGATCACAAGCTTACCCTATAGTACTTGATCTAGTCAATCCGCTTTCACCGTTCGTAGGATCGTCGGTATAAAACTGCCGGCGAGGTCTGTTCTCGATCAACAGGAAGGATCTTCGAGGATCTTCGTCCCTAATTCTTCCTGTCTGGATACTAAAAATTACCGTGATCTTTCTTAATAAACATTTAGCTGCCTTCTAATAAATTCATAATTTTGGGGATGATAATGGACAATGAGAGGGAGACTGATGTAATAGATGTAATTTTGATAGAAGTTGACTGGTTTCAGTCGGTATTGTTCAACATAAAATTCTTAAATGATGGATACGGGTTTACCCTAACAGTTCCGACAAGGCTCCCGTGAATTCTATTATGTTCCTCGTGACAAGGGCGCTCCGGGTTAAATCGTTCATAAGAACTCCTTCCGTCGTCATTGTTTCGGACGTGTTCATAGAGTTCGAGACCGTTTCAGGCTGGGTTTGGGGCACCGAAGAAGTCTCACCGTGAATAAGTTCTGTCCTAGTCTGATCTTCACCTGCAAGGAAACCCGGCCTATGTAACCCGCGGTAAATAATATGTATATGTGCATTACGCAGCCGAGAATCGATGAACACCGTCTTCTTAGAATTTCAAGTCGTAAACGTTCCAAGGTTTACGATGATTCTCCCGATTCGTAATAATATAGAGCAATTTTCCGAGAACGCAACTTTTTCAAAATGCTATCACCCTTATGTCTCTACTTGTTTATAATATAACAAGTTTAATAATATAACAAGTAACGATAAAAACCTCGTTCTTCTATTTAAAATACAATCTGTAAAATACAATCTTCTTCTTTCAAGAAGTATTCTTCTTAAAATACAATCTTCTTCTTCCAAGAAGTATTCTTCTTAAAATACAATCTTCTTCTTTCAAGAAGTATTCTTCTTAAAATACAATACAATATAAGAAGTATTCTTCTTGAAAGAAGAAGATTGTATTTTACAGATTGTATTTTAAATAGAAGAACGAGGTTGGTCGTTACTTATATATTGCTCAAAAAATTGTTACATGTTATTAAACGTTTTAATCTTTTGAGCTGGAAAATTTTGACCGTGTACCAATTGAATCAAAGAAATAATTAACTATAGAAAATATTTGGAAAATTTCTATCCAACCAAATTAATGATTAAAAACGGTTGAATCCTAAAAAAGGATATCTTCACAACTCTCAAGGAAATAATATTAGAGTTGTATTCAGCTGAAAAAATTTGTACATATTCCTCAAACCACTGTTTAAGCGTAGTAAACATTTTGCAAATGTCGGTCCACACACAGCTACATACTTGGTAAAACTAATTAAAAACGCAGGAAGAGGTACGGTTCTCCGGAATGACTGGATACGATCTCTGACCAGAGATAAATAATGTAAGAGCAAGTTCTAACTTTAACCAAGTCACTCAACAAGCCCGCATAAAGCAGTCGTTACCGGCCGAGGCACCCTCATAATCAACAATTCATAGTAGTGAGCATATTACCGTCTGCGTTCGACGCGGAAGGTTCTTCGGACTCAAACACCGTGAAATCAATGGATGGGTTACAACCGGCATCGTACCACTCCGGTTCGACCATATGGTTGTCGCTACGGTTTTCTATCCTTTCGCTGGATTCATCCTCCAATAGATTTTGCTCGCTGATAGTGCTCGCTGACGAATAACATGATGTCAACGGCTTATCGCGAACAGATTACAGAAGCTGTCTACATTTTGAAGGGTTCGAATAATGGTAGAAGAATGGTTCAACTTTACCACTGACTGCATCCAATACCGAATGATTTAATAAGCTGCTCACACTCTCGATGATCTCTGAAGAACATTCTTCTGTTCCCTTCGAGGACCTAATGTCGGACTTCGATCGTATAAAACGCTTCACGAATGAGAAACCAAGGATCCTTGATCTGATCTGTTGTAACGACTCTTGTTTATTATAGTGTCTTTTGAAAGTTAGAATTGTTTGATTATTTTGTTGGATTTGTTTATCTCAAATAATTGAGCTTTGTTCATAAATTGATCTATGCGGACAGCTATTTTATTTGTAAACTAACGAACTAAATTTATCTAGGTAGCTAAGTTAGGTAAAATCGTTTAATTCTATTCTTTTTGTTTAGTAAGTGTAGAAAATTCGATTATTTCATGAGATAATATAATAATATAATTAACATTCTTTGCAAACATTTGTTAAGCTTCCTTCACAGTATAGAAATTTAATCGATTAAATGAATGTGTCGTCTTTTAGTTATAAATTCATAGTCCTTTAATAACAAAATGATAGCGCTAAACTAATTACAAGGCACTAATGACTGATATATGACCAAACGCGTAAATTTGATCACAAATGTATCAAATTAATGATTGCAATCGATTGAACAATTATAACTGCTTAGTGACCCATATACAATGACCTTGTTAAATAGCAGTGTTATTTTTCATACAAATCGATCTTTCTGTATGAATTATTAAGATAATAAAAACATCAAAAACTATTTTCAATCGCGTATATGCTAAAACTAATAATAGAACTGCCACTAATCTGCATATACAATACTAAAGACGTTGAATTTTTTAGAGATAAATTCCTCAGTTGATAACCGGTACCAAAAAACGTAAATGGAAGTAAAAAAGAAATGTTCGCAGTACGCGTTTCAAAAAATACTTTAAATATTTTATCAGTTCAAGTCTAGAAATTCTTATTTATTTAGAGGGTCAAAAGGAAGGTTGCACCTAACCTTCTTGGTTATGCTACTCGCGGCAGATAGTTTCAGGCTCTTAGCGTCCCTATCTAGGGAACCTTGCGAGTTTAATGCCTCCTCGATGTTGGCCGTAGGTATTTCATGATTAGAAACATTGCTCCTCGACGAAGACCCATGATTACTCATTGTCACGGTTCGAATGTCCACGAAACTTTCTACGTCAAATATGCATAAGCCTCCGACAGATACTTGTCAATTTTCACATTCCAGGAATTGACATTGTACGTCTATCAACCGTCCTTTTTCCACAAACTTCCATTGTTTCTCGTCTCTTTACTACCCGGTGTTTTTTTTACCGATTTCATAATTCAACTAAATTAAATAATTTTTTAACCGATTTAATCGCAACTCTCGACGATCGCTCTCCACGCAACAATCGATCGTAGTAAACTGTTTCGATCGATTTAGTGCTCCATTAAAATCACACCTAATTCTATTTTTACACGGTTTAGAAAAACAAATTGAATTTTCTTTTTACACGATTTCATTCGACTTGGCATGGTTAAGAAATTGATAACAGCGAATAAAGTTATGCTGTCTTTGATTATTAATTTACATTTTACTTTAACATTGAATTACCTTTTGTTTTTATAAAGTAAACTGCACAAATCAAATTTGGCTTTCCATAAACACTCTTAATACATACACTTTTTGTGTATGAATCCTTTTATCCTAACTGTTTTTACAGATTTTCACGATACGGTAAAAATGCCCTATTTTTCTATGTACATGTGTACATGATGTTTTTTCTTACACGGATTTTTTTTGGAACATAACCGTCTAAAACAGGATTGGGTGTACTGTACTACACTCTAATTGCTACGTACGTTATAACAAAAGTTAGAGTGATCGATTCGAATGAATAAATGACGATGCACAACGTGTGCCGCAAATTTCTGAGATCTTCGTGTCAAAGTTCTGCACGTTTGCGTGTACAACGAAAAGAAAACAAAAGCGTTCATTGTTACCGGAAGAAACTGACAATTTGGCGTGCTGGCTCGTAAGATGGAGGAGACAATGATTACCGGGCGTGATCGCACGGCCGGGTGACTCGCCGGCTAATTAACTGAGAACGATCGGCTTACCTGATAGGTGTACGGTGCACAGGAAACTAAAAATTCTCTGCTCATAATAGAGAGAACTCGGTGGCGGTGGTAAAATCCAGCTGACGGATCTTGGGCAAGTGTCAAAATGCCGGTGGCGCCATCTTGAACTCGCTTGGAGTCGAGGTCGTCAAGCTGTCACGAGGAAAGTTTCCCGATTTCTCGGGAACGGGATCGCAATCCCTAGGTTCTCCAGCACGATCCACCGAATCACAATCAAATCATTGATGCTGTGCGCTCCGTTCGAACCTCGAAACGTCACGAGGATCGCGAACACATCCGCTGTCAAAGCACAGTACGAGTCACCATCACACAACACACTTTTCACGCTGCTATTAAAGAAAGAATGATCTGTCGCATCGATCACAATGCTGTAGGTTGGACGGTATCGTTGCGAGCGCTCCGAAAGTCGACTAATCGAACACCCGGACACTGGTTAACAGCTAGCACGGTGCGTTTATGTATATGTGATACGGATTACGGCATTATACCACCTTGCTACGCCATTTTCAGTAGGCAGTTTTCAATCGAACTGCGATACAAACGAACCACCACTCGCGTCTACTGGCAAGTGCCGACTGGTGCCGACTGCCGCCAATCACGATCACCAAGCTGGTAATAATCATGGCCACATAGTGTTTGGCAACAACAGCGCCGCCACTGCACCTGTTTGAATCACTATACCACTGCAGTCGGTAATACAGGATTTCTATCGAAATTGTAATAAATTCTTTTTATGTAAATAACTTTCAAGTATAAAGTTTCATACCATTAATGTTAAATTGGGTAAGGTAATAGATAAGTTTATTCTTCGATAAGTTAGATATTGCTAAGTTGCTGTTAAGTTAAAACAATGATAATGATAATGATGATAATAATAATAATAATAATAATAATAATAATAATAATAATATTGTTTTACTTTGATGTAAGCATCTAGATCCAGACCTATGAACTTAAAGTAGCCGATGATCTTTTTGTAGTCTTTATATGAACAAAGAGATAAATAAAAAAATAACTGCCGTTTGAAATATCCAGAGACCAAACATAACTGTTATGACGAAAATTTAATAGGGACGGCTTTTACTGATGGACGAACCCTGTATAATTCTCGATGATCGCTTTTTGTTTATTACAAAATTATTGATTTTGTACTACTGCACAGTGATCCGGAAAACAGCAATTTGTGGCCAAAATGCAATTTTTCAACATTAACTTTATGATACAATTTTTTTATTTTAATGAATTAGCAATTTTTAATTTTGTAATTAGATATAATACTTTATAGAAAAAATCAGGAAATTTTACGTGTAATTAATTACTTTTAATTACTTACAATATACCATCAAACTTTGTGTTATACCGCTTTTTGGACAACTGTGCACTGTTACTTCTTTCAATTAGCACAAAAACTAATTGGAAACAGAAAAACTTTCAACTTCGAGTACTCCATCTGTCGTAAAACTGCACGAATATTGTTTACATAGAACGATTCTAGAAACTCTGAACGATACGATTATTTAAATATGTTTAAACAATATTAAAAGAAAGCCTTCGCAAGATTAAAAGCATGAGTATATTCTTTTATCGTACTCCCGGGAATGTTTAGGGACCAGTTACCTCTATTATGTCGTGACCGACGTTTCCGATACTTAGGATACCCAACATAATGGTCTACCAATATGTACATATGTACCTAGTTTATGCAGAAACAATTCTCTTTCAGTCAGCCCCGTCAGTTCAATAAACGGTGACGAAGGGACTGTGTACACCATAAAACCCCTTATACCTATTTCCTTGTCAGAATTGTGTGTCATCAGCGATTAGTCGGCAATAAATATTTACGATCATCAATCGTGATTTTTTAAAAAGATAAAAAGATGCAAACGAACGAAACCCAGCTTTGTTCTTTGTGATGGGTAAGTATCGTGGTATGCAACGAAATACGTGTCAAACAACTCAGATCGGCTAAAAATAAACCTAATGAAAAAGATTCTGGACAACCTTGAAGATGTAGTCTTACGTAATCTGCATACTTCTTTTCAAATTCACGTAGTAAATATATGAATATAGTAATAGTTTCTAGCACGGAATGTGGATTCTTACATTATACAGATATGTATTTACGTGATAAAATGCGACGTAAACGCGCCTATCTCTTTCTATCAATGAAATACATATACGGACACAACTACGTAGCGCACTTCTTGCGTACATACGTTTTTCGCCATTTGAAATGAATAAAATGAAATGTGTAAAATGTCTTACATTCGTATCATCTCTGTAGACATATATCCATATCTTTGTCTAATATCATCAGATAGTTAGAATTTATTTCCAAGAACCTCCTGACCTGGATCCACTATCAGTTTTCAAGCAACATTTTTTACATTTAGTGCACCCCATGCTTGCCATCCCGCGCGGCGGATACTTCGATGACGGGTGCTTCTTTTTTTTCTGTGATTCAATCACTAGGTTTCGAGGTATCAAGATATCGTCCCATGGAATTTCAACGTCATCGTCTTCGCAACCTTCTTCAGACAATACTTGTATTTCAATCGGTTTCTCTAGCACGAGGTCATTCCATGGGATTTCTAACGTGGAGTCACAATTTTCGGGATCTGCAAGAGTGGACTGTACGGTTTCCATAATTATTAAATCTTTCCAAGGTAGGGCCATGGTGCCTATGGACTCTTCTTTCCCGAGCTCCGTTCCATTGCCCTGGTCGCCACCATTCTCGTCGTGGCCATTAAGAGGAGATGCCGAAAGCTCTTGACGAATTTTCATGCCAGCTGCCGGTAAAGCGATATCTCGCCATGGTAATTCAATTTTTGAATCGCACAATAAGGACACGTCCGAAAACTCCTTCCGTAGATCTCTCATGTATGGTTCATGATACATTTCTTCCTCCGGATTATACACCAACGTTTGTCTCTTCCTTTTACATTGTTCTTTCTTTCTCTGTTGCTGTTTCTGAAACTTCTGCCGAATACAGTAACATCCTTTCACCTTTCTTTTCTCTTCGGTCATCCTAGTCAATAATTATAATATAGATTTATAGGGTAAATGCACGGTACTGTAATACTTGGAAATTTTTTGACATTAACAGATAATGGTTAATTAACCTCGTGCTGCAATTCGCATCTATGTTGTTTGCTTTTTGTTTTGACACATACATATATACATATAACAGGTGTATCCTCTAAAGATTAACCGCCATTTTTCAGGTATCTCCGATAACCTGACAGACAAACATTTTGAACGAAAATTAACGAATCTTTACCGTTTTTCAGTAAAAATGAAAGTGATTTTGACTTCTCTTTGAATAAAACCATATATTTCAAGTTTCATAGAGTTGTAGTTGACGTTAAAACCAACTCAACCTATGACCTTCAGGTAACCTTGAATTCAGAATTTTAAGTTCGATTAGGAAACTTCAATGTAGGAATTTATTATATTTAGCCTGCGATTCTGAAATCTATGAGCTTATCACAAATTTCGTACTCCTTTTTAACGACTATACACTTCGAACATGTCTTATATGACTTCATGACATAATATTCGTTGCAATTGTATACGTACACCGCATGCTTAGCTTCGTTAAGTTAAATCTTCATGAAATAAATGAAAATGATTTGCCAAGTATTTAAATTCATTCAGTCATCGTCGAACGCAAAAATGCATAAATTCATACATATAGATAACGTATACAATGAAATACAAATACAAACTGTTTCAATCACGCAATTGACGAATCGCTTTTATACATTTCACCGCGACATCTATCGACGGGACGTGGTATAATGTCAAAAATTCACTAGTTGCCAATAAAAGGAAATCCGCAGTGACTCTGTCTTGATTTCACGCTATAAGATTAAAAGGAATGCGTGGAAATAGTTGTTTTCTCTCGAGTGTTTGCGTGATAAAATTCAGCGTGTAAAATCATCGTGGCTGGGAACAAAAGTAATTGGCTTGACTACTCGAAGAATAACCGAAAGAATCCTTTATGGTAGTTGGTTTGACGAGCGTGGTAGGGACTACGTTTAGAAGGCAGCCATCTTGCAATCCCTAATCAAAGATCTTCGGCTAGCGGCTATCGCTGTCTGGTTTTCAGCCAGTTAATATCAACACACAGTTCATCAAATGGCTTTAAAACGAATTAATAAGGTACGTGGATGGTCAGCGGTGTTCGTTTTGTACAGAGACAGTCAGGTGTCGATGTGATGTGTGCCGAATGCGGTTGAACGCCCTTAACGATTTTGCAGTGAAGCAATGTGAGCCAGCATTGAAAATCATGTTGGCTTTTCTCGATTTTTTTGCATTCTCCGAGTGTGCTTTGATTTAATCGCGTACGCAATTACTTCGAGACGGTGCATTGCGCACGCAGCACAGTGCCACTTTGTGCCAGTGGATGTATCTAAGGTGACAGTGAAATTCTAAAAAAATTTTAAGTGGCTAGCCGATAAATTACCGGAAGTAACGTAAAACCGTGCGTTACATACATCTTTATACATATACATATATGCATGAAGCTATAGATAACTTAGAAATTACGAAAATTTCATTAGTGCATTCATAGTCCATTTATGGAAAGAGTTGGCTCCCCCCATTTTCTACATGATCACTGGTATCACCATCAAGGTGCAACGTGATTTCCACCATGTGACTGTAAAAACACGTTTACATGCGAAAATCCACCTATTTGGGGCCAATACATTTGTATTTAATGCATGCCAGAGATCAGGCTTCGTTATATTACTCTTCAGTCTCACCACTATTCATAGCAAAAATGCAAAAGAATTCAATGCTCTGAATGCAGCACCTTTCGAACAGGCACATTGTATAATAAAAACTGCTGTATTCTTGTTCTATTCCAATGCAGCATACAATGATACAAATAGTTTGTATGTATGCGTATACGATTACAACATATGCACTAAAATCCATTTGCTCTAACTACTTCTTCTAAGTACCATCATTATGATGATTAACAGGCTGATTGTTACGTACGAGTCAGATAATTATTTGTGCAAATTCAAATATTAATGCTTATGATTCTTGGTTCTGCAGTCAACTTGTAAACAATGTTTCATATAATGTAAAATTGTAGATCTCTTTACTGTACATTTCTGAAAATGTGAGATTTCTTTATTGTAACACTTTCTCAATGCTGTTTTACTTTTGGGTAATATCCTTATATGCTTATATATGGATGAATCAGTTGAAGCTATGTTTTCATGTTGTATACTATAGACAGTAAGGTAAAGATATGTTTTGTACCTTTATTATTACATGAAAATATTTACAATCATATACAATTTATGTATAACTTCATTGATCTGTATTTTAAATACTTTATACATCATTAAATTCTCTATATGTATAGCAATCTTAAACCACTGTGATGCAACACATTTAATAGCCATTTATCTATTCTAGTAACTTCTTTCTCATTAGAGGAATCACAGTAAAAAGTAAAACTACCGAGTAATTCTAGCGACTCATTATTTAATCTTAATGATAATTATAACAATGCAGTTGGNAGCAATCTTAAACCACTGTGATGCAACACATTTAATAGCCATTTATCTATTCTAGTAACTTCTTTCTCATTAGAGGAATCACAGTAAAAAGTAAAACTACCGAGTAATTCTAGCGACTCATTATTTAATCTTAATGATAATTATAACAATGCNATAAATAAATTGATTTCATAATTTCTCTCAAAAGTGATCTTATGGTTATAATAATGGTGAAACAAAGGTGGTTGATTTTGTCCCATGTGGTAGATCAAATATTAAAAGCATTTGAAAATCCAAAGCAATGATAAAGCATTGGAGACTTGTATCAATTGCAATAATTACAAATTTAAACAATGTAATCTTTTATTCACATTTTTATTTGAATTTGTTTTCTTTCTTAGGAACTTCAGGACCTTGGTAGAGATCCACCGGCGCAATGCTCTGCTGGTCCTGTAGGAGATGATTGTAAGTTTTTCCATTAAATAACTGCCTATTGGTGTATAATGCTATCAAAGTTTATGTGGTCACATTATAATCATTTATACTAATTTTAGTTGTAACTCACTATTATGTTTTATGCTTATAAGATGACATAATGAAATATTCTTTATTTAATTATACAATTGCTTTCAGTATTCCACTGGCAGGCAACTATTATGGGACCAGTGAGTATATATTAATTTTCAGTCTATGGTTCTCATGACTTAATTAACTTGTTATTTATCAATTGAAACCTATAAGCTTCTTAAAAGGTTCATTGAAATATAAGTATAAATATAATTTGTGAGTGTTATTTGCAAGTATTTTCACCTTTGCTCTGATCATCGAAGGTAATTTTGAAATAATGGACTTTATGTTGTATTAACTGTAATATTATTATTTCGAAAATGTCTCATAATGCATGTATTATTTAATGCAACAATCATTCAAGAGACTTTGCAAATAAGTTTACTGCTGTCAGTATTTACAATGCTTTTCTATTTCATACATTTTGTCGTGGATACTTGTTTCCGCAGTTGCATTAACTAATAGTCTCTACTATTTATTTTTTATATACTATTTATTTATTTATAATCTGTAAAGTACAATGTGCATACTATTGTCTCCATTTGTTTTAATGGTTATTTTAATGCGAGATATGATCTTGTAAAAATGAGTAAAAGTGTAAATTGCTCTGATATGGTAAAAGTTAGATTTGATGGAAAATTCATAAATATTAAAAAATTCATAATAATCAAATATTATTTTCAGCCTGACAGTCCATATCAAGGAGGAGTATTTTTCCTTACAATTCACTTCCCCACAGATTACCCATTCAAACCACCTAAGGTATGTAAATATTGTAGACAATATTACTATAAAAAAATTTATGCATGGCATATTAATTCTATGTATGTTTCTACAGGTTGCTTTTACAACTAGAATTTATCATCCAAATATAAACAGTAATGGAAGTATTTGTTTGGATATTTTAAGATCGCAATGGTCCCCAGCACTCACCATATCAAAGGGTATATAATTTTACATTTATAATAAAAGTTATGAAAGAGAATTAGATAAACGGCGGAACGATAGCTGAGCAATATTTAAAGTAGTTGTTTCATGGAAGGCAATTTGTTTATTTTCAGTGTTACTCTCAATATGCTCTTTGCTCTGCGATCCAAATCCAGATGACCCTCTGGTACCAGAGATAGCAAGGTTATACAAAACTGACAGGGAGANTAACAATGCAGTTGGTGATACTTCAATGACCCTGTATTATAATATGCTCATGAATAAATAAATTGATTTCATAATTTCTCTCAAAAGTGATCTTATGGTTATAATAATGGTGAAACAAAGGTGGTTGATTTTGTCCCATGTGGTAGATCAAATATTAAAAGCATTTGAAAATCCAAAGCAATGATAAAGCATTGGAGACTTGTATCAATTGCAATAATTACAAATTTAAACAATGTAATCTTTTATTCACATTTTTATTTGAATTTGTTTTCTTTCTTAGGAACTTCAGGACCTTGGTAGAGATCCACCGGCGCAATGCTCTGCTGGTCCTGTAGGAGATGATTGTAAGTTTTTCCATTAAATAACTGCCTATTGGTGTATAATGCTATCAAAGTTTATGTGGTCACATTATAATCATTTATACTAATTTTAGTTGTAACTCACTATTATGTTTTATGCTTATAAGATGACATAATGAAATATTCTTTATTTAATTATACAATTGCTTTCAGTATTCCACTGGCAGGCAACTATTATGGGACCAGTGAGTATATATTAATTTTCAGTCTATGGTTCTCATGACTTAATTAACTTGTTATTTATCAATTGAAACCTATAAGCTTCTTAAAAGGTTCATTGAAATATAAGTATAAATATAATTTGTGAGTGTTATTTGCAAGTATTTTCACCTTTGCTCTGATCATCGAAGGTAATTTTGAAATAATGGACTTTATGTTGTATTAACTGTAATATTATTATTTCGAAAATGTCTCATAATGCATGTATTATTTAATGCAACAATCATTCAAGAGACTTTGCAAATAAGTTTACTGCTGTCAGTATTTACAATGCTTTTCTATTTCATACATTTTGTCGTGGATACTTGTTTCCGCAGTTGCATTAACTAATAGTCTCTACTATTTATTTTTTATATACTATTTATTTATTTATAATCTGTAAAGTACAATGTGCATACTATTGTCTCCATTTGTTTTAATGGTTATTTTAATGCGAGATATGATCTTGTAAAAATGAGTAAAAGTGTAAATTGCTCTGATATGGTAAAAGTTAGATTTGATGGAAAATTCATAAATATTAAAAAATTCATAATAATCAAATATTATTTTCAGCCTGACAGTCCATATCAAGGAGGAGTATTTTTCCTTACAATTCACTTCCCCACAGATTACCCATTCAAACCACCTAAGGTATGTAAATATTGTAGACAATATTACTATAAAAAAATTTATGCATGGCATATTAATTCTATGTATGTTTCTACAGGTTGCTTTTACAACTAGAATTTATCATCCAAATATAAACAGTAATGGAAGTATTTGTTTGGATATTTTAAGATCGCAATGGTCCCCAGCACTCACCATATCAAAGGGTATATAATTTTACATTTATAATAAAAGTTATGAAAGAGAATTAGATAAACGGCGGAACGATAGCTGAGCAATATTTAAAGTAGTTGTTTCATGGAAGGCAATTTGTTTATTTTCAGTGTTACTCTCAATATGCTCTTTGCTCTGCGATCCAAATCCAGATGACCCTCTGGTACCAGAGATAGCAAGGTTATACAAAACTGACAGGGAGAAGTACAATGAATTGGCACGTGAATGGACGCGCAAGTATGCCATGTGATGCGCCAACCTCCGTTGACTTCAACATCTAAAAACCACCAACAAGCAGCCCCAGCCTATTGCCACTTATGCATCAGCACCGATTGAAATTAGTTATGGCTCGTCTACTTTTAAACTTAAGCCAGTACTTGGGATCGAAGAGTGCTCAGACAAATGTGGTCGATCTGAAATTATCCTTCGTCCTGAGAGGCCTGCGAATATTGAGACGTTGCCACCCAATGGCAATTGAGGCAATTTTAAAAGGTGGTCACATAACACTATATATATAAATCAGGAAAAACAGAAAACAGAAAATATGTCCGCTTTGATTTTCATAAATAAAAAAAACAAAATGGAAGTAAAATATAGGAGAGTGAAAGTAGGATTTGTATTTGAATTTAATAGTTTAATTTCTAATTATAATATGCTTATGATACCGTAATTATTATGTACCTACTTTCTCAGTGAAAATGAAAAAAAATGGAAAACCTTTGAACTGACAGCACACCAATTGTTAGTTTTAAACGCAAGTGAGCAATGTTTGCCCGTCCCTTGGAACGATGCAGTCACTTTTTTGTAAGACTGGGCTATATATAAATACTACTGAAACTATACCTGTATGTTTTGTTCAATTATTAAAATTCCTTACCTATCTAACAAATTCTACGAGTAACTCGAAATTTTGTGGTTTGGTTCCTCTGTGTGTGTGTAGTAGTTTTAATTATGCATATATCGTTCATCGATAAATCGGACTATACACTAAAAGCTGGAAAATTCACTGATGAAAACAGTTATGCTGCTAGCGTGGAGATTGTTCTTTACCTAATCGCGAGTAGAGTATCTCTACCCGTTTATGGGTCTATACTAATTAACAAAGTTATTCACGATATCTTATCGGCCCCCGAGAATTTACATATTCTCCCGGGCTTCGTTCACGTACTATGGAAGAAGTTATTATAGTCATCGATGTCACTATTTATCGATAAATGATGAGAGCGACATTACATTTTGTTTGGATTATCACGTGAAACGCGTTCGAACCAGGAAAAAGAATTGTTTCGATGAGCCGTGGAGTTTGGTCACGGATTTATAAAATCCTCCGACTTCAATTTTATATTAATGCGTCATTTATAATTATCAGCAAAGTCATGCGTCGTACCTTGCGAATCCACGATTCGCCTGTCGCTATATTTTATTTGCATCAATGCGTTTACTATTGTTTTGCGTGTAAATTTTTCCTTTAAGCGATAACTTTTTATTATTATTATTATTATTATTACTACTACGATTATTATTATTAATATTATTATTATTACGACTATTATTTAGAATTTGTCTTAAGTTTCCTTGTCAACCACAATATAAAACAAAATATACGTACCTACACTATTACGATCTTTGCAAAGACCTCTACCACCGCGAGCAAAAATGGCTAACCGTTTTACATATAGTAATTTTAGTCTCTCCGAGTATACCAAGATACGTTTTCTTAACGCTATATATTTTTCATATATATACATATATATATATATATATAATTATAACATATATATACGTATATATATATTGTGGCTGAAAAGGATCGCAGTGAGATTTCAGGACTACTCCGCCTAAATCTACCTAATTACATTCTATGATAACGCGATGAGAGAGAGAGAGAGAGAGAGAGAGAGAGATTGCGAAAGTGAGAGAGAGATTACGTTGTCGATGTAGCAATGTATCGTTCGTCGGTTATAGTTCGTTTTAAAAAAAAAGTAATTTAAACAAAAAAAAAAAAAATGAAATAAAACGATGCACCACCTGTCGTTCGGTGCTAGCAATGTTCTTTCGGCTTCTGAATCTAGATAATGAATAAAAACTGATTGAGAGACATCGTAACGACGCGGTCACTTAATTAGACAGTAAGCGAACCGAGGAAGGGAATCAAAAGAGTAAAAGAGAAAAATGCGGGGAAAGAACAACAAAGCATTTCGCGTTTGCGAGGGCATCTTTGAAATGAAGATCGGTGCTTAGGTGAAACGATTATGGCGAAGCTCGCGGAGCGCGGACAAATGAAGCCTAGAAAACAGAAAAAAAAGACAAATCGATTAGTATGTAAGACGGCGTATCACACACTTGTTAAATGTCGATTTTGTCTCGTACGAACCTGTATATCATCGCTGTGTAATGTTAATTAATCCACCGAAGTGAGAAACGAGTGAACCGCGCGGCGAACAAACGCATGCCGAGTACAATTGATCATCGTTCACTTCGAATAGAGGGAGAAAAACTACTCATGTGTAATTAATTATTACTATCGCAATAATGAACATTTTTAATAACGTATCTTGTGTACATTTTAGCATTAGCCCTTTATATAATAAATTCCACATGATGACAAGCGACGCGCGTCTCCAATCACTTGTAATCTGCAACCTGCACTTTTGTACTAATGCATCGGATGCAACGAGCTTAGGCTGTTCTACAAACCAAAAAAGACAAGAAGTTGTGCGATTGGCTGGTAATACCGTGCGCTCATCCACGGGATAGATTCGAACGCAGGGTTTTTTATAAGCAAGCGTTGATTTTTAAGAAAATCTTCGAAAGGTTAAATAATCGTCAGGTCGTTTGCGAGCGTAAAAGTTTAGCGTTGAATCGATTCCCAGGTAAAAGTTAAGAAACTACGGATGACTGGCAGTTAAAAAGTCAGTTTATGCCGAGCGGGTTACACGTCTTCGTTAGACTTTCACGAAGGACGACGGACTATACGAGTAACCTATGTAGAGACATAAGTCGAGTTGGAAACAACAGACGGGCCGGTGAAAGTGCCGCCTTCTTCCTCCCTTCGCCCTAGTTGACCGCTCTTGACCGCTGTATTTTACCACGTTTATTAACACTCGCGGTCTGAATCTGCTGAAATATCGCGACTAGCGACAGACGCGAGCGTACCATCGAACGAACAAGCCGCGAGAAAACGCTAGAGGACATATTAGAAGCCTAACCGAACAATCGCTATCCGCACGTGAAATTTAATGTTTAAGCAGTTCTTTTCATAGATTATTTTCACTTGTTAAAGACGGTCACTATGGATTGATTTAGGGATCGTTAGTACTTAAAAAAGACGATTGATCCGTATGAATCTCAGGAAAAACGTTTTCGTGATTTGTCCTGGGGGAAAAAAAAGGGACACTGTGTGCGGTGGTCGTCAATGACCGTTTAACCTACTTACGAAATTCCGTTGCAAAATGTATGACTTGCATCTTGTGTGATTGTAACGAATTCTTGATCTGCAGACAGTAATAAAGTTTCGTTTAAGATCGATGTTACCAATGTAATCCGATGTGTGGTTTTCGTAGAATCTCTGTTTTCTTTTCTAGGGTTCTCGTGTTATTACGAAGTAGGAGGAAACGAAGAATGCCTATGCTTATCTGCGATCTTATAATGAAAGCAGTAGAAAGTTCGGTTCGTAGACGAACTCGCATCCGGTTTTCAGGAACAGTCCTTAAACGGTCCGTTAAAACAATATTTACTATGTCAATCGGTTGTTGACTTACTTCACAGTGTGCTTTTTTTATATGCAAAGTGGACAAAGGAGAACTACATAGCCCGCTTAGATCAAACCATTGAAAAATACTGTTAGTATTTCTGTGATTCAAATTTTAGATTAAGAGCACATCGAAATAATAGTACGAAGGAAGTAACTGATCAATCTCCGTGTTCTAAAATTTAAATGATAATATTATATTTATTTCGGTATATATTATTTGAATAGATAAGAAATTTTGTTTGAAAACATATTTCGCTATTTATTTAACCAATGATTTTTTGTATCAATTAAAAGTGGCCAGTTTGATTATAAAAGCACTCAAGACTGCACTTATTTTGATTTTGCTTTAATTTGTCTAACAATTTTTTATAAAAGCGTGCTTAGAATTGCAATAATCGCGAAACGAGTAGTCCGAGACCCGCCATTTTGTCGGGTCCTCCGGTTCCAATACTAATCCTGCTGAGTATACAATCATTTTAGGAAAATAGAAACATATGCGTCAGTGACGATTCTGTAATTTTCTTATCCATTGATATAATATTAAGACCGTTGGTCAACTAATATTATACAAATACATAGTGTTAAACAAATGAGAATATGAAAGCCAAAAAATGACGTGTCATTTGTTTTCAAAGTGAATTCTACGTTAGAATAAAAACTGATATTTGAAACTGATGATCTCAAATTCCAGAAACGATTAGCACTAGCAAAATAATTTTTGCATTCACTCGCGATATGAATTTATTAAATTAAGTAGTCTCCGATGAAAATAAAGAATTGATCACACAAATTCAAAATTAAATATAGAAATTCCTGAACGGAGTAAAATAGTTGAATTATTGGCAAACAATTTCTGCGAATGTAACGACGAATTTAAATAAATCTTACTAACAAAATGGCGAGTGATTCCAAAACGAAACTGTCGCATAAATAAATTCCTGAACAAAGTAAAATGGTGAATTAATAACGAATATGGTGAATAGTATCAATAAATGAACCACTCATTTGCCAAATCTGTTAACTCCACAAAACAAAAGGTAGGGAAAACTGCTAGAACAGTGTGTATTGCTTTTTAAAGTTTCATATACAATTTAACGTCAAATGATCATCATAGAATATTATGTGCGTAGCTTGAGCCTAGCGAAATACATTGTAATGTATAACAATAAAGTGTCTACTATACATGTGTGATAATAAATAATCTAACATACAAGTGTGATAACAAGTAGTCTAACATACATGTATAACAACAAATTGTCTAACATACATGTGTACCAATAAATTGTCAAATATACATGTATAATAACAAATAGCCTAATACACATGTTCGATAATAAATTGTCTAATACTGTAATAATAAATTGTCTATTATGCCACGATCAAAAGGACCTTCATTATTTTGTATTTAGCTCAAATAATGAAAAAACAAATTCGAAATGTTCAATCATAAAATTCGATCAAATACTTTGATACTAAAATTACGAAAAATAAAAAAAAGACTGGAGTTAACCGATTTGTCGGATGACCGGCTAAATTTTCGCTAACAAACTATTACGAATGATTCCAGGAGAGTGATAAACGAGTTCGTGGCCCGATTTCTCGGTGAAAACGAAAAGCGAATGGTTCTCGAACCCATCGCTACTCCGTAGTACGAGGACGTGTTTCGATCTATCGAGCGGCGCTTGGGACAGTCTGGTCGCGATGCGGCTTATTCAGTATCAGTACTGTTCTCGGCACGTTCGGCGATCGAGGACGTCAAGGTGACTCCGCTGGTGAATACACGCGACCGTCGGGAAAATGAGTCGATAGATCGCCGATCGACCGACTTCCTGTCCGTGCCGCTGCCGCGACGTTTTCAAAAATCCGTTCTCGCGAAAATCACCCGTAGTTCTACTGTTTTTGGGACCGTTGGAACCGACACGTCGCACCCAAGTGGTACGTAACGCTGTCAAATTGAACTGAACATTGTCAATACACTGTCAAGAGTTTCGTACCGATCTCTTTGCGCAACGTGTGCGCCGCAAATGCTCACAAAAATGCGCATTCGCTGCGTGTCGACTGTATCGCGCGATGATCCGTGACATTTCGAAACTCGGCTCTCGCGTGTTTTTGTATCGTCCAATTGTACGATTGTTTGGCGAGATAACGAAGAAATTATAGCTCGGTTGAAGCTGTAACGAGTTCGAAATTATGCACATTTGAAGCTGGACTTTGCGCACTTCTCTTTCTGTCGAACGCGACGGCGAATTTGATGCGTTCGTGGGAGAAATGGGTGAAACAGAGAACAGTGAAAAGATTAAAAGGATGCTAAAAATGTTCAGCTTGTTAATATTAGTATAGAAAAAAAGTAAATTATACTTGGCACATTTTTGTCTTGCGATCGACGCAGAAAATTATTGTTTTGCGGAAAGATCCGCGGTCTAGCGACGAAGGTGATCCTTTCTCTTTCGGTTTCTTTTTCGGAGAATGTTTCTTCGGGTTAGGAATTAATATCGTTGCTTATTGTGTGCTGACGACTCTGTTTAACAGCTTCTCTTTTCTCGAATGTCAAGCATTGCTTTATGTCAGGAGTGTGTGTGTGTGCTCTTGATTCAGGATTTTTGTGCGCCGGAAAAATATATGTTGACTTTCTTTCATATTTTTGCTTGGTTTCTATTTCGACGGAGAGCGCTTTTTACAGTCAGAGATCTGTAGCCCCGATTTCAAAATTAATGCCAGCTGTCCGACGAAAAATGCGTTCTACTTTCCTTTCGTTCTATTTTTCTTTCTTTCTTATTTTCTGTCTTTCGAGTTTCGAAAGTTTTGTCTTTCAAAATCGTCAACTAAATATTACTCTTCCTTAAATATTCAATGTTTATCATGCACTGTATTTTATTATACTTATACTATTGTAATATTGATTATTCTCTCTTCCTATTTATTCGCAAATGAAAAGTGTTTTATATTATGATTAATGATGATTATGCAAAATCAAAATTCTCAAAAGAAGTAAAAACCAAATGGAAAGTCGTTCCTTCTTCCAATAACGTTGATCGACTGAAAATAATAACTTGGCACACTGACTTTCATTTTTTATTCGCTTGATTTCATTTCATTTCTTCACCATTCTAAATTGTACGTGCTCAACTTAGCCACGAAGTCCGCAGTCCACCGGCGATTGTTAAATAAAGAAAATCGTAAATTAGAGGAAACGCGAACACAGGCATGTCATGGACACTTTTTAGGAACAACTTTCGCGTTCGAAGCGATTCCGTATTTTTACAAATTCAATTTTCTGCGCGCTTTCCCCGGCAGGATTATGCAAGAATCATTTCCTGCTTCCTCTTACCTTACAAATGATTTCTGGTCAAAGCAGTCAACGATACTGAATATATTATTTCCTGTATACACGATACGTATCACGAGCACTCGAACAAAATGCTCGGCGTAAAGCAGGAAACATTTAGAATTCATTGCCAATGACACCGGCTTTTATATTGTTTAAACAGATACTAGTTACGATTGAGTAATTTTATCGGGAGTCCTAAGAAACTGGGAGTCGTTAAATGAAACGATGAATAAAACATTGTTAAACGTAAAAGCTTTCAAGGATTATTAAAGCGAAGGTTTTCATTAATTGATTTTCATATCTACTCTGGCTTTATATTAACAAGTCAAATGAGAAGTTGTAAGGCAGCCTAGTTGCATAGATAATAGATAGTTAAGCATAAATGATATCCAGGGGTCATTTATATAAAAAAACGTATTGATCAAAATTAATATGAATAAAAATTGCTTTCCTCGATAATTTCGAAATAAAAAGACTCTCACTCTGTAAGGTCGATTATTTAGGAGAACAATGGGTGTTATACATCTTATCTTCATTGTTAAATGAAATAATTGAGGAGAAGATTATCGGATAAGAAGATGTATTATATTATGAAGAAATTATTCTACTGTAGTCACATCTATTAATATTAATGATTTCATGAATTTTTCAGTTATTACTATCTTTCATACAATATTATTTGGACAAACAATGGATATTAAATCAACATTTCTTTAACACCTTATCATAGTACATAGTTAAATGAAACAATCGAGGAGAAGATTACCAAATAAGAATGTACATTATATTATCAAAAAATTATTCTACTGCACACGCATCTATTAATTTCAGTAATTTCATAAATTTTCCATTTTTTACTATCTTTCATTTCAATTTGTTTGTAGCACTATTATTAATAGGACATATCAGTCGCATGTAGTAAATGATATACAATAGTAACAAACGTTGTGTATACTTAAGAAGAAATGTTTCATTATTTTCCAGTGAAAGTTCCGTTCCAATAGATTTAGAGATGCAGAGGTGGCAATAAAATTTCACCCAGCTGTCACGACCAGCTGTTTCCACTTGAAAATTGATAGTTCGTTGAACATTCACTCGCGAAATGTCAAGTTCGGTAACTTGTACTTTCACGCGAATATTGTTGCACGGTTCCTTAATTACGAGTTATGAATTATTCCGGACAACAACGGGGTAATAAGTTTGTCGACACGGTGCCCACGAATTACCGTCGTGCATTTAGACTGCTCATTTTATGCATTCCTAGCTGATGCGTGTTGCAACCGTAGCCGTTTTTTGTCAATCTCCTTGTTTTTCTTGTTTCATGTAATGGTACGTTCGATGACGTTTCACGCCATTTTTCCCAGATAACACGTAATCGTGTCGAAACGTAAAACTGTTAATTCAACCAATTTTGGATGAAACCACCGCGATTCGGACACGACAGTCTATTATTTTATGCAGTCTGATATTTTTGCCCGAAATTTCTATAAAGCCGCCTGATATTTCCGTGAAATCTTACAATTACTCCATAGCAATGAAAACATGGTGTATGAACAGCTTTTTAGAATTAATGAGAGGAATCATTTACACGATTACATTTCTAGATGGAATATTTATTTACAGAGGATTGTAAATTCAAGGAAGTGTGAAATTTCGGTAAATTCGAAAGGAATTTTAAGTAAGTAACATCAAGATTAATGTCAAGATCAACATTTCTTCTCTGTTTCGTAATCAATATTTATTATAATTGATTAATTCAACAGACCGATGTTTCTTTTATTGGCTCTGAACGCTGCACGAATCATTGACGCACCAACACCGAAGTGTGTGTTGCACAACTCATTGCGACAATGTTTCTTTTCTTAAATGAGTATGTACTAGCACGATTTATGTGAAGAACGATTTATAAACAACGATTTGTAAACAACGACCTGTAAACAAAGATTTATAAATAACGATTTATTGACACGATTTATATAAATTAATGATTTATAGGTAACGATTTAGTATGTGACAATTGTGAACAGTATAACTCTGTTTCCCAGCTGTGGACTGATATGATCGAAGTATGGTCATATTTATCGAAATTTGTCGCTATTTGATTTCATCAATGCCTAATCGATTTTTCAAAATTGTAAGAAACTCGGGTTCGCATTCCGTGTAGCAAAGATCCAAAAACAAACAGCGTAAATCTTAGTTTTCATACTAAAAGACGAACGAAGAGTAATCAAGCTGATTTTTTCTCGTCGCGCGTACCAAAAATCGTAACGAATAGCAAAAATCGCACGTTCGCAGACTAAACGATGAACCAAAGATTTGGCTAATAGAATTTCGCGTGTACGAAGACATGCAAGATCAACGTTCTCAAAGATATTCAAACAACTTAAGCGAGATAATTAGCACTTAGATTCTTATTCCACGTAGCAAAGTCACTGAGATGAACTAAGAAAATCTCATCTTCGTGCACTTAAAGATTAAGAAAATCTCATCTCTGTGCACTTAGAGATTCAGAAAATCGAATTTCACATGCAAAACGTAGGAATCGCGGCAGGAAGCAATCGCGATGGCGGTGCGAGAGGTCCGAATGACGTTTTACGCGCGCAAAACGTGACGCCGCTATTTTCTGCGTTTTCCCCGGCGCGTAAAAATTCCCGGACTAGGCAACTTGCTTCGCGACGATAGTAGAGAGCACGTTTGCCATACTTTTCTTCGGAGGTGAACCGCGCGGTACCAACAACAGGTTCCGAAGAGCGGCTTCAACTTTCTCGTAGATTAAACGCGAAAGATCGTTCATCGCTCGGGGAGAGAGTGAACAGACACTTCTGCAAGTAAGCGAACGGCCGAAGTGATTATGCGATCGCAGAAAAAGCGAGCCTATTTCTCGCGGTGCCGCGGAAGAATTTCCGTCCAGGTGTGTTTCGGCGCGGATTCAGCTTTTCGTTTTCACGCGAAATTGTTTTGCCGGAAATGCGACAGTGAACAAAAGAGAACGTTGTTTGCGCGGCTGTGTGTAACGCTCTTGCCGCGTTATGCGGCCGAGATGACCAACCTGTTCCTTTCGACATGGAATTCGCACTGCAAATACCGAGCGGACACCTGCGATCGGTGTTTACTTATTTTTTTCGTTGCATATTACGATCGGTTTCCGTGGAACTCGCATTTCTCGGTTCGGTGGGACGATCGTGAATTACTGTCTATTCAACCCTTTCACTTGCATCGGTTTCAGATGTAAGAAAATTTTATTTCAGATAAAAATAAACAATAAATGGTCGAAGTAATATACAGGGTGTTACGCCTAACTGAGAACAGTGAAATATCTCGAAATAGATCGAAGCTACGAAAACAATGTTTATACAAAAAGTGTTCAGTATAAAGCTGTCTCTTATACACATCTAAATGTGTATAAGAGACAGGTATTATTTCTTCCAAATAATCATAAACTAGAAGCAATTAAATTAGCAACAGCGGGAGGCGGATGGTATTATGAAAGGTGTAAGGACTGTCTCTTATACACATCTAAATGTGTATAAGAGACAGGTATTATTTCTTCCAAATAATCATAAACTAGAAGCAATTAAATTAGCAACAGCGGGAGGCGGATGGTATTATGAAAGGTGTAAGGACTGTCTCTTATACACATCTAAATGTGTATAAGAGACAGGTATTATTTCTTCCAAATAATCATAAACTAGAAGCAATTAAATTAGCAACAGCGGGAGGCGGATGGTATTATGAAAGGTGTAAGGACTGTCTCTTATACACATCTAAATGTGTATAAGAGACAGGTATTATTTCTTCCAAATAATCATAAACTAGAAGCAATTAAATTAGCAACAGCGGGAGGCGGATGGTATTATGAAAGGTGTAAGGACTGTCTCTTATACACATCTAAATGTGTATAAGAGACAGGTATTATTTCTTCCAAATAATCATAAACTAGAAGCAATTAAATTAGCAACAGCGGGAGGCGGATGGTATTATGAAAGGTGTAAGGACTGTCTCTTATACACATCTAAATGTGTATAAGAGACAGGTATTATTTCTTCCAAATAATCATAAACTAGAAGCAATTAAATTAGCAACAGCGGGAGGCGGATGGTATTATGAAAGGTGTAAGGACTGTCTCTTATACACATCTAAATGTGTATAAGAGACAGGTATTATTTCTTCCAAATAATCATAAACTAGAAGCAATTAAATTAGCAACAGCGGGAGGCGGATGGTATTATGAAAGGTGTAAGGACTGTCTCTTATACACATCTAAATGTGTATAAGAGACAGGTATTATTTCTTCCAAATAATCATAAACTAGAAGCAATTAAATTAGCAACAGCGGGAGGCGGATGGTATTATGAAAGGTGTAAGGACTGTCTCTTATACACATCTAAATGTGTATAAGAGACAGGTATTATTTCTTCCAAATAATCATAAACTAGAAGCAATTAAATTAGCAACAGCGGGAGGCGGATGGTATTATGAAAGGTGTAAGGACTGTCTCTTATACACATCTAAATGTGTATAAGAGACAGGTATTATTTCTTCCAAATAATCATAAACTAGAAGCAATTAAATTAGCAACAGCGGGAGGCGGATGGTATTATGAAAGGTGTAAGGACTGTCTCTTATACACATCTAAATGTGTATAAGAGACAGGTATTATTTCTTCCAAATAATCATAAACTAGAAGCAATTAAATTAGCAACAGCGGGAGGCGGATGGTATTATGAAAGGTGTAAGGACTGTCTCTTATACACATCTAAATGTGTATAAGAGACAGGTATTATTTCTTCCAAATAATCATAAACTAGAAGCAATTAAATTAGCAACAGCGGGAGGCGGATGGTATTATGAAAGGTGTAAGGACTGTCTCTTATACACATCTAAATGTGTATAAGAGACAGGTATTATTTCTTCCAAATAATCATAAACTAGAAGCAATTAAATTAGCAACAGCGGGAGGCGGATGGTATTATGAAAGGTGTAAGGACTGTCTCTTATACACATCTAAATGTGTATAAGAGACAGGTATTATTTCTTCCAAATAATCATAAACTAGAAGCAATTAAATTAGCAACAGCGGGAGGCGGATGGTATTATGAAAGGTGTAAGGACTGTCTCTTATACACATCTAGATGTGTATAAGAGACAGTCCTTACACCTTTCATAATACCATCCGCCTCCCGCTGTTGCTAATTTAATTGCTTCTAGTTTATGATTATTTGGAAGAAATAATACAACATTGTATTCGTATTGAAACCAGCTATCGTAATATGACTAAAAAAATGTATGGTCCCATNTATCTCGAAATAGATCGAAGCTACGAAAACAATGTTTATACAAAAAGTGTTCAGTATAAAGAGATCTTTTAGGTAGTATCAATAATTTTTTTATTGACACATAATGGTGAATGATATTTCAAGGACAAATTGATCTTTTTAAATGGGACCATACATTTTTTTAGTCATATTACAATAGCTGGTTTCAATACGAATCGAATAATGTATTATTTCTTTCAAGTAATCATAAATTAGAAGCAATTAAATTTGCAACAGCGGGAGGCGGATGGTATTAGAAGTCGCGTCGCGTCGGTTGCCTACATCTCAATTGACGTGTTATTCTGATATCTTCTCCAGCCAAATCGTTGTTCTCAGGCTTAGTTTCAGTCGCTTTCTTGGTTACCGTAGAAGGGTTCCGGTTTGGTGAAATACATCTACGATTTTACGTATTACTGAAATTGCAGGTTTTAGTTTGTTCGGATGTCGCCTATGAAATTCGTCCCTCACTTGTCGGTATGAATTAAGATCGTCACCTCTTAGTCAAACTTATTTCGATTTTTTCCTGTAGAGTAAACATTTTCACACACTCAATGCTTTAGAATTTTTCACTTTCGTCTTGATTTATTAAAGATACAATTTAGACTGATTATTGGAAATACAAAAGGCATAAGAAAACGCAGAAAAATTCGTTTCTTTTTATGCTCATCGTCAGTGTATTATTTACACCTCGTTGCATATGCATTGGACGACTGCAATAATGTCACGTAAACATTGCACTGAACGTAAACAGAAATCAAACCTTCGTGTGTTTCCTTACACCTTTCATAATACCATCCGCCTCCCGCTGTTGCTAATTTAATTGCTTCTAGTTTATGATTATTTGGAAGAAATAATACAACATTGTATTCGTATTGAAACCAGCTATCGTAATATGACTAAAAAAATGTATGGTCCCATTTAAAAAGATCAACTTGACCTTGAAATATCATTCACCATTATGTCAATAAAAAAATTATTGATACTACCTGAAACATCTCTTTATACTGAACAGTTTTTGTATAAGCATTGTTTTCGTAGCTTCGATCTATTTCGAGATATTTCACTGTTCTCAGTTAGGCGTAACACCCTGTATAAAGCGATTTCAAATAACAAATTATTTCGTTATTTCTTTATTTCAGATTGGCCAAAATACTGAAAATAATAACGAACAAAATGATTTCATTTTATGAAATTTTCACAACAATTTGTTTAAAGATTTGTTGAGACTGTAAACACGTTTTTGCGGGGGGATTACTAAATTGTATTTTTATAGCTTTGCTAATGTTGTTTTACTTGAATGAGAATTGTTATCATTAATTTTAAAGATGGTCGAACGATAACGTTTTTGATGAAATCATTTTTATCGACTTTGGACACAGTCGAATGAGTAATTTCTTGATTATCTTCATCGATTAGAACTGTGGTAACAATTTTAGATTGAACGTAGTTCAAATGTAGTTCAAATGTAGAATAATTTTTAAAAAGGAGAATCGTTGATAATAATAATAGAAAAATAATGGAGAATAATAATAGCGTTAACAGTGTAATTATCACACATTAACTATGGTGCTATCGTTAAAAGTGTCTTTTGCACTCTTATTATATTCTCCTATATT